TGAGACCCGGAATATATCTGGTTGCTGTTCTCTGGACTAATTTCAGAGCATCAGTCTTTTCTATATTGTGGAGACTAAAATTGTATACAGTATTCTTAATGAGGTCCTACTAGTACATTGTTTCATTTTAACATAAAATCCCTTGATTTGAACTCTTCACTTAACTGTGTATCGTAACATTTTGCTTGCGTTTTTTATTGCTTCCCACATTTTCTGGAAGATGTAAGCGATGTGTTAACAGATACATTTTTGATTTCCATAAGTAGCCTCTTCTACTTCAGTGTTTCCCATATTGTATGTACAGTCTTTTTTTACCGCATGCAAAACTCTGGCCTTACTTACATTAAACATCAGCTGTAGGGTGTTTGCTCAGTCTTGAATTTTATCTCAATCTTAATCAATTTCATTTCTGAAATCGACTGGCCGAAATAACTGAAATGCTTCTACAGCATTCACTAATCTTCCTGATGTACAATCTTCAAACTTCAGTAGTTTACTAAGTATACTAGAACCTAGATCATTCTAATTGGTAAGAGCAGCTATTACATTATCCCAATTTGATTGTTCACCCTTTATTTATGCATTGCTTTCTGTTAAACAATTATCAATCCAATCTATTTTCCTGAATACCGGCTACCTATAATTTGAAAATGATTTTTTTCTGGGGATCTTTATTAAAAAGATTCTATCTAAATACACTATATCGTATGCTCTGTGTCTATCCATTACAGCTGTTGCTTGTTCAAAACATGCAAACAAGCTGATTAGGCAAGACATATCTTTTCTATAAGAATAGGATGTTACATCCATATAGGTGATTTTTTTGGTTTAGTACTAATTGTCTCCATTACTTGACACATAATAGAAAACACATTGGATCAGCTTTCTCATCCTTTTTATAGATGTGCTTCTGTCCGTGGGTACTACTCTTAACCAACTTTTGGAAGAGTTGGTAAGATATTACTGGGCCCTGGAGATTTATTTGTCATCCTTGTACCTGTAACATTCTACCTCTTCTATCTTAATACATTTTAATGAAGATCTCCCTTCTGCTGCCCAAGGCATGTTGTCTTCTTTAGTGAAGAAAGTGAAATACTCATTTAGTGTCTACCGTGTCCGTTTCTTGAGACTGAACAATCCCAAAAAAAGAACCTCTTGAGTCTTCATTAACTGATGCTTCTGAGTCCGTGAGTTGCCTTTGAGAGCTGCAGGAGTTGCCCTGTAGTCTGGTGTGATTTCTTGTGACTCTGGTCAGCGAGCTGTGCGCTGCTGCATCTCAGTGTTGGTCTTCACTCCTGCTGCTGGCTGTGCTTCAGGGAGCAGGCCCGGGAGAAAGTGATGAGGGAGGTGAAGGCCCTGGCCAAGCTGGAGCACCCTGGCATCATCCGCTACTTCAACGCCTGGCAGGAGAGCCCCCCTGAGGGCTGGCAGGAGGAGATGGACCAGCGCTGGCTCAAGGATGCCAGGTAAGAGCCAGCCCATAGTCCTGTAGATGGAAACACTCATAGCCACTCTTTAAGCTTCACTGATTTAAGTGATTCTTTTCATCATTATTAGTACATATTTTTAGAATAAGAATGTTTAAGTCAAATTGAGCACAATCAAATCTTTATCTCTGTGGATACTGTTCCTTTTCTTTGGGCTTGAGGTACAGGTTCCATGAGCTGTTTTGTACACTCCAGATTTTGTTATTGTAAAGTTATATTGGCTTTAATAAAAGTCTTTTAATATTGAATTCAATGTGCTGTCTGAAAGACTGTATGCAGTGAACAGTAAGTTTGCCACTAGAATGACTAGATCAGAAGGACTCGGCTCATCTCTAGGTGTAAGTGAGGTGTGTCCATTTTACTTCTGCAGCACCACAGACTGGCCGCTCAGCTCCCCAGAGCAGATGGAGGCGCTATCCGTGAAAGTGCCCGTCTCCAAGCCCTTGACCCAGGACATTTCCTCAGCAGAGGGGGCAGGAGGTGATAGTCTCAGTATCCGGATAGATGGGCTGCCCTCTCTCTCCCACGGGATGTTCTCGCCCAACGCCTCTGCAGCAGGAGACGAGGGCTGTGGGGAGCCCAGCGAGGCCAGCCAGCTGCACGGTTATGACAGCTTCCTCTCGGAGGGGGACAGCCAGGCCGACCCCGAGGTCTCCGACTCGCCGCACTCCTTTGAGCTGTGTAACCCCTGCGCCCCCGAGGACTGCAGCTCCTTCTCGGACGAGATTGTGTTTGAGGACTCGGGCTGCGACGACACCTCGGAGCCCGCCGAGCCCGGCAGCCACGGCACCCTGACGGAGCGACCCAGCTCGGAATCCCGGACCCAAACACACGGGCCCAATCCCACCTCCCTCTCCGGCTCCCCTCCGCGGCCCACTAGCCTGAGCCTGGGCCCCTGCCACACTCCCTCCCTGCCCTCCCAGCGGCCCCGGCCCCTGCCTTCACCCAAGGTGTACCTCTATATCCAGATGCAGCTGTGCCGCAAGGAGAATCTGAAGGACTGGATGGCCCAGCGGTGTCAGCCAGAGCAGCGGGACCGGACTGAGTGTTTGGGTATCTTCCTGCAGATTGCCGAGGCTGTAGAGTTCTTGCACAGCAAGGGCCTCATGCACCGGGACCTGAAAGTGAGCTCCGACTCTTCACTGCTCTGTTCTGTGCGGTTATGGAAGTACATACACTGCAATCCTCACGCACCGTACTCTGTTGCAGCATGTCGTGCAGCATTTGAGTTCGTCAACATATTATAGGAAGGCTTAACTGCTTTTGGAGCGTTTAGCATTAGAATTCCCATGATCAGAGCCAGTCTCATTTGTTGTATAAGCCTGAAAGAGAAGGCAATAGTTCTCAAGTGGCTGTTCCTTGGCTGTTGAGGATTAAATTCTGGGCGCCTGTGTTTTAGAGTATTGTTCTACTGCTCTGTGGAAATAGCTACGTCTAGGTCAAGATCCTGTCAATTTTAGGGTCATAGACCTTTGTCTTCGCCATGCACCCTGCCATTTCAGCTGGATTTGTCTTTGTTCCACCCACCTGTTCTTGATGCGCAGGTTTCAAAGCGAAAAATGCAGCTGTACACTCTCTTTCGGTTTGTGATGCTGGCCGTTTGCACTACAGTCACAATGTCTATGCTGATGGCTAAGCTCTTAGCCCAGTCTGTGCTAAAAGTCTGACCTGGCTGCTCTGTGCTCTCTCAGCCTTCCAACATCTTCTTCACCCTGGATGATGTGGTGAAGGTGGGCGATTTTGGGCTGGTGACAGCTATGGACCAAGAGGAGGATGAGGAAGGGGGAGCAGTGCTGACCCCCATGCCAGTCTATGCTAGGCATACTGGGCAAGTGGGCACCAAGCTGTACATGAGCCCTGAGCAGGTAAATGGAAATGAAAGCATAGCTATATTGTTATATCTGTATGTGAAAAATGTTGAAGTACTTTAAATGAAAACAGAGGGCAGCAGGGCATCAAGGGCAGCAGTGTGGAGCAGTGGTTAGGCTTCTGGACTTGAGCTGGAAGATTGTGGGTTCAAATCTCAACACAAATTAATTGTTCCAGTTAAATGCCATGTTTTGTCAGTGAATGCAAATATAATCTACTTATAAGTGTAGGCTGAATAAATTAGTCCATCCATCCATATACCAGTCCATTCTCAGAAACAAATCAACCTCGCATTATGGCTTTGGACTGTGAGAGGAACCCAGAGGAAACTCTCATGAACACAAGGAGAACATACTGAGTCTATACAGATAGCATTCAATGGAATTGAAGGAGTACATTTTTGAAAATGGATTGACTTTAGAGGGTTTGTACCTGGAGTTTGGGTATCTGTTTAGAGACATTTGTGTCCTTGTTTTGTAGAGTTTCTTTGCCTTTGTCTGAAATGATCTTTGTTTCCTGCATTATCCAGGTTTCCGGGAACTTTTACTCTCACAAGGTGGATATCTACTCCCTGGGCCTGATTCTGTTCGAGCTGCTCTATCCCTTTAGCACCCAGATGGAGAGAGTGCGGGTAAGCACCCTAATTGTCATGTTCTCCTTTTACCCCATGATCGTTGTTATGGTAGCCTGTTGGCAGCCAGAGTCTGCATGTTGCTCAGGGCCTGACCTGACCTGCACTCTGTGTGGTTGTTTCCCTGCAGACGCTGACGGAGGTGAGGAACCTGCAGTTTCCACAGGCGTTCTCTCAGAGGAACGTGCAGGAGGTGAGTGCTGTCACTCTGCCACCAGGGAGCAAGTAACAGCTCCCATTAAATCATTTTTTATCACCAGGCATTAGGTAACTGCTGAAATGATGTGGATTGCGGTTATTTTTATACTGTTTATATCCTGGCAAGTTGCTGGAGTTTGAATGTGTTTAGTGCAGCAGCTTTGGGAATATCTGTGTGGGAACACAGCTGCCAGTATGATGCCAACCATAAGTTCTTCCTTTGCACAGAGGTCAAATCTCTCAGTGATGAAACACTCACACATGTCAGAGAGTTATTACTATGTATGTTGTGTGGCAGTGTGTAGCCTTGCCCACTTGCCAATCTGAATGGATCAAGCGGTGTGTTTGGTTGCTGTGTTTCAGCTCGTGATGGTGCGCCGCATGCTGTCTCCATGCCCCAGCGAGCGGCCGGAGGCAGTGGACATCACGGAGACTCCGCTGTTCCAGGAGCTGGAGGTGCCCAGCAGACTGGTCCTGAGGCAGCGCTCCCGCACATACAGTTCCTCTGGGGGGTCCCATACACGCCAGCCCAGCAGCTGAGCCCGCAGGGCTGGATCCTCCTGCTGTGCCAGGGACTGCCAGCCCGTTGTCACCACACAGTTCTGAGCCGCCAGACCCCAGCCCTGACGGGTCTGCCAGGGTTTCCTTTTCCACATGTGGCCAGTCTTGCCTTCACTCGGCCAGTGTCTGCTCCATCCTCTGCCTTGAACAAACGCACATGGTCACTCATTTCAGCCTGCCTATGAAAGACAATCTCTTCATCTACCAGCAGCTTCTCAAACACTTAATGCTGGAAAAACCCACCGTTATCAGCTTCTGATTCATTATCCTCAATTTTGGGTTGCACAAACTGTCCTGGCCTGCACCCTGCTGTACTCGATAGCGTCACAAAATGTCTGGGACCCATACAACAGTTTTGTATAGCTTGACTAAGAGCCAGCCTGGTTTGGTTCTTACTTACTTGGATCTTTTCACTTCCCACTATAGCCTACAGTGTACCTCTGTTTCTTATTGACTGCTCAGACAGGCAAGCTGTGCACAGATGGTTTGGTCATCTTTTTTCAGTCCAAGTCAGTACATGATGTCACAGCTACTCTCTTCATCTAAGGATGTTTAACCCTTTTAATCGATAGACTGGGATTTCTCTCTGCCATGAGGAGGACTACAGTCTTTGGTGTCTGTGAGTCCTTATGAATTTTGGTGGATGGGGGTTGGCGGTGATCAGTTGACCTGTTCTATCGCTAGATGAGATTTTTCATCTCTTGCCGATATATTGAATCCAGCATCATGGCATCCTAAAATAATTTTAAATGCAGCCTTTTTTGTGAAATGCTTCTCAAAAGAGTTTTTTATGTTACAATTTAAAAAAAGGCTGGGGAAGGTCCCCCTGACCCCTTGACTCTGTGAGCAGTCTGACCCTTCAGAGTCCAGTTTGCACAGTGTTTCCCTGGTGCACAGGTGAGGGCTGTGGCCTTGCCTGATTTCCAGGCCCACAGCTGTCCAAGGTTTAGCCAGAGCGAAAGCTGGATGCCCTTATTGCCCTGGGAGAGAGCACCGTTGTGTCTGTTATTGAGGAACAGGCTGTGCTGTAGCTCGGCAGTGGGCAGCCTTGGTCCTGAAGGACTGAAAGATCCTTCCGATTTTCACCATCAGAACTCTCACTTGTTTGAACTAAGCAATTATTTGCAAAGTTGCACAATTGTTTGTGGGTGGTTTGTAAGCTGGTAGCAATTTAAAAAGATGCACAAATCATGCTGGACTGCAGTTTCCCAAGGCCAGGCCTGCCCCTGACTGCTCTAGACTGGAACAGACAGTGCAGCCTTTCTGAGACGTAGACGTTTGTCAGCTCCATGACCTTTTGAAACTTATTCACTGCTTATATGGTTAAATCTCATTATCCACGGCTTCAGAAGAAACGGTTAAACCTGCAGGGTTGCTCACCTATGGGCTTTAATATTTTCCATTCCTGGTCTCTGCTGCAGGTTAACAGAAGTGTTCTGGGTCTCTCGGCCCATCATCCCCTCTTCTCTGCCCAGTACTCTGAGAGAAGAGGCAGACTATCTCACTGTGCCTGGAGGTCAGACTCCTCTGTCTTTTTGCTCCTCATTCCTCTCCTTCACAGCCTAGGCCTGCTCCCAGAACACTAACACAGATTTCTTTAAGCTGCTTTCAAAAGCCATATGGGAATTCTGGACTAGTTAAGGATTTTAGTTCAAATTGTCATTTTTAATGCTTCTTCAGGCAACGTAAAACCTTCCCGTTATGTTACGACATGTTGCAGACCTCGCCTTTAATAAAGGGAGTTAAAAAATGCATTGAAAATGGCCTGCGGACCCAAGGTTCAAAATCTTGGCTGCTTGGAGTCGCAAGTAGGTGTGGATAATTTTTGAAAAATGGGCGATTTCTTGAATTAGATTTTGGAAAGCTGGATTATGATATAAAAATGCATGAATTTCTAACATGCTTAGAAATGACGAACAGCTTTCTACTTGAGCACAAAAGAGGAGAGCTGGTTGCTTCACATCGCAGCCAGCAGAGGGAGCTGTGGTGTGATGACATGACAGGCCTTCCTCCTGAAGGAAGGTTGCTGTTCAGTTTTCATTCTTTGTTGACGGTTCTGTCTTTTCTCTTGTGTAAATAATGACTTTTATATCTTTATCCAAGGGCAAGCTTTACCAATACTGTACATAATGTTTTTTCAAGTGTGGTACCTTCCAACAGCTGTTTATGGTATTATGTCGGTGTTGAAGGGGGAAAACGGGTGTTACACGGGTAATGAACTGGCTCTTGCCCATTGTTTCACTGTGTGCAAGATTCATGAATTGCAGAAGAAGCTGGTTGGAACTGGCAATGCCTTGTTTTTATAGAACTGCATGGAATTCTGTTTTGGAGCACACTGGACAACTGGCCCAGTATCGGTCTGTAAGTGTGCTTCCTGTACAATTGTATATGCATAAGGAAACAAACAGAAGATAACCTAAGAGTCTCAATTGAAGTTCAAGCTGTATAGTTCTTCTGATGTTTATTTAAATTTGTATATTTGTTTTTTTCTAAGCAGGTGTGTGTTCCGTCTGGGAAGGGGCTGTTGAGATACTTGATGTGGCCCTGTTCTGCCCTGTCCTCTCACTTGGTCACATTGAAGGGTCCATTTGTTCTTGGTGGTTATTCCCAGTTCCACTAGTGTGACTGTGACTCCTTTTCCCAGCCTTCCATGAGGCCATGTTTGAAATCTCCAGTTTCACTGGCTCCTGAGCGGTATCATCTGATTTATCTAACCTTTAGGTTTAGCCCTGTACAGGTCTCATTGCTTGGGCTCTAAAGGCAATAAACATTGTGATCTCTGGAGCGCTGGGAGGAGGTAATCAAGTCTTATTAAAACCGGTGAGCTGCAGGTTGACGCTGCTGAGGACATTTCTGTCAATGCCACCCCAGAGCATGGAGGTGTGCCCTCTGCCATGTGTGTTTAGGAGCCAAACACCAGCCCCTTTCTGCCACTTCATCTTGCATCAGCAGTGTTCCACGAATACAGGACCTTGTTCTGCTCGCGGTTTCTTTGGGTTAGTCTTCAGTATCTTAACTGCAGAGTTATTGTTCAGATGTTTTCTCTCCGGGACTCATGAAGATCTCTCTCGGATAGCTCCAGAGCTTTTTCTTATTTTCTTTTTTTGATCTTCAGCATTTACTGAGATACAATCTGCAAAATTAGTTTTGCTGAACGTTTTCAAAGAGAGGTTTGTTCGTTATCTCTCTTCCGTTAGTTCAGTGACCATATTGGGTTCTTCTCCATTAATGTCTGGCTTCAGTGACCATAAGATCTGGTGCACCACAGTCACGGTGGATCTGTGGATCTATCCCCTTTGTAAGCTAGTTTCAGTGTCTTTAAGCACAATCTGTGTTTTCTGCCTCTGTTGCAATGTAAATATGTATTTTTGTTTTTATTTAAGTTTATTGCAAAATCAATCCATGTGGGTTGCTGGTATGAGAGAATGCACTTCATGCAATAATTTTCAAGTGCATTGAAATATGCGACTTCTTACAAGTCTAAATTTAATAAAACATTCTATGACATTTGTACAATTTTTGCCTTTGACCTCTTCAATTATTTAAATTATTAAAATCTTTCATGTCAAGATGGTCCAAAAGACTTCTTCAAATATTAAAATGTTACTATGCTAGTGTTGTGGAAGTGCACAACACTACCATACTGTAAATCTGAGAAGCGGAGACACCTTTTTGCATAATGGGTTGTGGGAGCATGGAGAAAAACTGGTCATGTTGATGCTGAAACCCTGGCTTCTTTCGAGAAATTACTAGTGGTAGCTACTAGCTGTACAAATGGACTAGATGGGCTGAATGGCCATTTTTTTGTAAACTTTCTTCTTAACTTCAGCAGTTACAGTACATAACCAAACAGGCACTACTGTCTTGTTGGTAGATATTTCATCCTGAGATCCCATCCAGTTGCTTCATGAAAACAGCCTGGGTGTTGTCTTCAACAAAATAATAGCTTGTTCCAGACTCCACAAACCTTCATGTAAAGAAAGCGTCCGGTTTTAAGTTTTGGAGCTATTTCAGTCACTTCTTCATAAAAAGGGTGGTAAAACACTAAGTATTGTTGGCGAATAATACTTTGTTCAGTTACATGTAAGGGTTTGGAAGCAATTATCAGGACTACAGGTTGATCCATATGGAAATATGATCCCAAGGGACAGTCATTATGAATTTACAAAAGGTAGGACTTGCTGAACTAATTTACGTCAGAGTATACAATGTGATGTGTTTAAATTTGCAGAATACTTTTGATAAAGGTCCTGGAAAAAAAAAATCTCAGTTTACAAGTGGAGACATTTGGAGAAATGTTTAGGTTGAGAATTGGATAATAGAAAATGGAGAGTACAGATTGAGGGGACTATCACAGGGATCTCTACTTGGATCACTGTACTTATTAATTTAGAACAATGATCTAGAGTTGTGTGCATTCCAATTTGCAGATTCCACATTAGGAGGGTTAGAAACAGCAAATGAAATTCAAAAATATTTCGATAAAATTCAAATCTGGGCAAACACCTTGCAGATGCAAATAACTAGGTGCTTATATTGACGTATTGCATACAGCTTTGGAAAATGTGATAAGGTACTAAAAGTGGCAAAATATTTTATACTATAGACCCAAAGGTAGAATTTAAATTGAGATGTTATGTTGGAAGGCATGGTGGAGCAGTGGTTAGCAGAGTCCACATAACCTGTAAAGAGCTTTGAGTGGAGAGTCCAGAAAAGTGCTATATAAGTTTAAGGAAGAATTATTATTATTATTATTATTAACTGGTTCAAGAGAGGACATTGAGAATTGGTTCTGTAAGCTACCCAGCCTGTATGAAGACCACCCCTGGTGGTTTCTCTATTAGTATTTGCCAGTTATTGGGTCTTGAGTGACTGCAGGGAGAGTTCTGTTAACAGTCTGAATATCAGTTCTTGTTTCCTTCAGTGGAGTATGAACAGACCCTTGAGATTTTGTTTGTGCTTCTGTTTACTGGAGCACTTCAGTAAGATTTTAATACAGAACTTCCACTGCGAGGCTTATGGTTTCAAAAGGCCATTAAAAATCTCCTTTATTAGTTCTAGGCCTCTTTGTGGTTCTTTTGCAGCTGAAATTCTAAAAAAACAAACTCTTGCCTTTGACTCACTAGCTAGAATGAGATCTGTGCCTCAAGCAGATTGACTTGGTGATACAAACCATTGAGTAAGACTGAAGTAGCAAAGAGACACTGGATTTTAAGTGTGGTCTAAACACATGGAAATCTTTAAGTAGATCCTAAATTCCAAATTTTTGATACCTCAAACTCATAAGAGAAAAATAAAAACACCCTTAAAGATCATAGTGAGGAATATTGAACAGCTCTCCAGATTTAGTTTCAAAATGGTCTGATTTTTTTAAACAGACTGCAACAACAAAGGCTTGCACTATCCTCCAAACAAAGTGGGGAAACCCAACTGGGAAAAAATGTCCAAGTAAAATGGCAGAACTGGTTTGTGACTGATATCTAACTTAGTGTGCTGTGCCCTCTCTCTGGAGGAAGGGCTTGTATTCACCTAGTCTGCCCACAGTTTGGGACAGATTGAGGAGATTGGGTGTCTGTGAGACTTGTTTTACAATGTCTGAAAAGCAGACTGTAAAGAACTCGGACTTCACTACAGAAATAACAGAGTTCCAAATTTCAGTTACAGTGCCTTAAAACTATTCACCCCCTTCCAATGATATCTTCATTTGTGGATTAACCAAATGTGAATTTTCTAAATATGTGAATGCTCAAATTTAACTCTTTAATGGGTCAAAATTTAATAGACTAAGAAAAATCCCAAGATGAATTATGTTGATTAGTATTAGTATCAGTATTCATCTTGTGAGTCAGTGCTTGGTGGAAGTGCAATTGACAGCAATTACAGCTGTGAATCTTTTTTTGGATCCATTTCTAATGACTGCACACTGAGAAATTGCAGTTTCTACCTATTCTTTGCAAGCCTGTTCAAGCTCTCAAATTCATGGGGGATGGAAATCAGTTTCCAAGTCTTGCCACAGACTGGGTATAGGTGTACACACTCTGTGCTCCTGGGACTGACCATTCTCTGCAGCTTTGTGCCTTGGCTGCAAAAACCTAAAACATTTTTACAGCAGACAGGATTTCCAGTAGTACATATTACAGTCCAAGTTAAGAATTAATCTTAAGTCTTTTCCCATCTAGTAATATCAGGTATTGTCACTCACAACAGCCATCACTGATGAGCACACGGGCAGTGTGCAGTGTCTCTTCCCAGACAGTCCTCTGTGAACTACGCAGCTCTAAAATTTCACATAAACTGGCAGACTGGCCTAAGTAATGAGTGCAATTGCAGCCAACCAGCCACAGGAGGATGCTCAACAGCTTCTAATCCTAGTATATAGACACAGCAGGTGATGACTATGTAATTATTGGTAATTAGTGAAGCTGAACATTGTATATTCTCATGTGGGTATAATAAGGGTGTGGAGTATAAAAAGGGTAATGCAGATTTCTGATATGCAATGATGGAAGTAGAACAGATATCTGATCAGCACTGGGTAAAGATAATTGATCATTACCTTCATCCCAGGTAGAAGGACAAGGAAGAGGATCTTGGACATGGACACTGGGACACTAAACTCACGTCAGTTGACTGAAACACGATCGCTGCTAGTGAGGACTGATTTGTACAGTATATAAACACCACGACTGCAAACTCATCAGCAAATTTCCTCTCCAAGCAATGCGCCTTCAGAGGTGGGAAAACTAAATCGGTTACAATCCTTCACAGGGCTGCTGCAATGAATGTATCATGTCATGCAGTGCTAGTGCCTGCTGGGAGAGAACGGAGCCCAACACGCAACACATTTCTGTTTTGTGACTCATAAAATAGGTCTCATGTCAAAATACATTTATTTTCTGTACAGAATTCAGTCAGACCAGGTGCACAATGTAGCTACACGATTTAAAACGAAGACTCCTGCAGGGTCCTTCATTTGGGGGAAAAAATAAAAAAAAAACAGGCTACTAAACTACCTTGTAGCTGCTGGTCAACACAGTGTGCGTCTGTGGGCTCTCCAGGGTCCGAGGAGGTCTCTCCACAGAAGCTCCTGCTTTTCCTGATGTCAGGTCTGTCTGGGGCTTTTTCCTGCCTTTGCTTACTGGACGGGCCGAGTGGGAGGTGGTGTGCACGGAGCTGCAGTCTCGACAGTGTTGGGGCTGGTCACGCTGTGGCTCTGGGCTCACTTCTGGCAGAAGTGCCAGGACTTCTGTACAGCGGTAAATGACACAGGCTATAGTGAGACAGGGTCAAAAGCTAAGGAAAGTACTGTATAAAAGAGAGGCCTGCAGTGGCTGACACAGGAGGTTGCGTTCTTGTCTGGAGTGCAGGAAAGCACTGTTTACACCCTGAGCCCTGTCTTGAAGAGGTGCTTTAGTCTTTGTTCAGAGCTGGAACAGGTCGAGCTGGCCCTTCCCCAGGACACAGCTCAGGAACACACAAAAGATAATGAAAACAGAATCTGCTCTGATGGTGCAGGTCTCTTCCATCCACTTCACCGTGAGCAGTGTGGTTAATTGAATACCACTCTTGGATCCAAAGTGAACAAGAAACTGGGGAAAAAGAATTGTTTTACTGTATAGACAGGGTATTGCTAATGTATAGGAACAGCTGGACTGTTTGAATATGTCTGATCTTCACATTGTAAAAAATAAAATGGAAACAACTGATGTATAAAATGGTTGATGTTCCATATAACACTGCCTTTTTACAGGTATTCCTGTGTACATAAGCACCCTGAAGCCTCATTGTCTTTTACGAGAGAGAAAGGACAGAGACTTGAGAGTGTCCTGGAGTGCACACTGTCTGGGCCATTGTCAGGCAGCTACGGTATCTAGTCCAATACCATTCATGCTTTGTGATACCGTGCTTGTCCAACCCCTTTGAACATTGCTTGGTGTTCACGATGAGGACGATATAAAGGAACATCCGCAACAGATGTCACTGATGTCTTAAGAGTTCTGATATTTTTCTATTCACGCCCTGGCAGTAGGAGTGTGTTTCCCACAGTTCAAGACGCAGGTGTCAGCACTGCACAGTTGGAAAATGCCCCTCAGCCAGCATGTTTGAGTGATGCAGACCCAAAGAGCAGGAGAAGAGAGCCCACAGCTACAGCAGTGGGACGTCAGCGGAGTCCATTTCCCTCAGGGGTAGGGGGTTCCGACACACCGGTTCACTGCTTGGGCTGGCCCTTCAGCGTCAGTGTGGCACTGGGCAGGGCCGTGGTCTTGTTGCTGTACTCGGGATCCTGCGCGGTGCGAGAGAAGGTGACGATGGACACCATGTCCTCGCCGATGTCCACCTGTGAGCGCCAGCGCCGGCACACCAGCAGCTTCTTGAGCGCACGCTGGAAATCGCGGTTGAGGAAGGCGTAGAGCATAGGGTTGATGGTTGAGTTGCAGTAGCCCAGCCAGGTGATGATCTTGAAGAGGCAGCTGATGGCTGGGCTCTCCCCGCCCCAGCCCCGGGCCGCCAGCCACACATTGAGCACGAAGTAAGGCAGCCAGCACATGACGAAGACGGAGATGATGATGCTCATGGTGCGCGTGGCCTTGTTCTCCAGCTGCAGGTTGTTGGGCCGCCGGCTGTCGGGGTGGTAGTGCAGGTCCAGGGTCTGAGAGACGATGCGGGTGGCCTTGAGGCGAGAGGCGCGGTAGATGAAGAAGTACATGGTGCACATGATGAGGAAGGGGATGTAGAACGCCAGCGCCGAAGCCACGATGGCAAAGGTCCAGTTGGTGACAAAGACGCAGTCGTGCCCCGAGTCGTAGGCCAGGCCCGGGATTTCGTTCCAGCCCTGCATTACTGGAAGGAAGGAGATCAGAGACGAGTACACCCAGATCGTCACCGTCATCACAATACACCTGGACAAAGGGAAACGGAGAAATAGAGATATTATAGATGTACTGTGCAAATTCCCGTCTCTATTACAACTAGAAAACACTCTGTATCGAAACCCTGCCAAAGCGAGGGAGAAACATGGGAGCCGAACTGTATCTTAATTAGACAGGCTTGCCTTTGAGGCACAGTGGTCAGTCTAGGAAGGTGTCTGGGAAGATCAATACTGCTGACATGACAGCAGCACACAGCCTGAGGCAGAGACATCTTGCTCTCTGTGTCACTTGATACAAAAAGGTTTTGTTTTTGTTCATGAAAAACCATTTGCACACACTAAATACAATAAGTATCAGTCTGTTGAGTTTTATTTTAGGGTTAAGGGTGATGGTTGTAAGGAAGACTACAAGCCAGTTAAGAGTTAGAGAAGGAGGTAAGGTTATATTACAGGTTTAGGTAGTAGCTTGACTTAAGGTTAAAACTTGGTTAGGCTTAAGATTAGGGTTAGTGTTGGAGAGTTGAGAGGTTTAAGGTTGGGGTTAGGATTTAGGACCAGTGGTAGGGTTGGGGCTAGACTTAGGGCAAAAGCTTGAATTAGTATTAACAACTAACAGGCTGGAGCTAAGGTTGCAACAGAGGATGGGTTTGTCTTGGACTGAAGGGAGAGCATGGAGGACATGAAGCAGTAGGGTAAGGGCTACATAAATTTGTAAGGCTGTGGTAAATTCTAAGGCTGATGTTAAAATTGGAGCTGCTGTCTCAGCTGGGTTGGAGATGCAGCTAGTGCTGTTATTAAGTCAGGGTTAAGCTTTACATCTAGGATAATGTGGGGTTGGACTTAGGGTTTGAGCCAGGTTCAGAATTAGGGCGAGAGTCCCTTTTGGAACTAGAGTTAAGGGTGAAGTTAGGGTTAGGGTTGCAACTAGTAGTTTAATTAAAGGTTGAAGTTAAACTCTCCACACCACTGGACTTGTACTGCAGGGAGACAGAGAGGGGTCAGGGGTCACTCTCCACACCACTGGACTGATACTGCAGGAAGACAGAGAGGGGATATAGTTCAGATTGGGGTGAAATAGATAATTACAAAATGTTGCATAATTGTCCTCCCATATAAAGTCTCCTGACTGAAGTGTTTCACTGTAGTAGTACAAGCCAGGTGTAAACCTAGGTTTAAAAATGCTTTAGCATGATTTAAACCAACACTCAAAAGAAGATTAGGGTTTCTCTTGTTCATAGTTTACAGGTTTAATAACATTAAAATAAAGCCACAGCAGATCAGTATGGAAAAATATAATTCTTAGTGCCCCATAGAGTTAAAATTTTTGCTTATGGATATTTATGATCATCAAATAAGGTGAGGCACTAACTATAGTATGGTACTATATTTATGCTATGAATTATGTTTGCATTCTGTACTGTAAAAGAGTAAGATTTATGCTTTCTTAACAATACCCAGATCACGTGACATTTTCTTTCAGAATCAGAGCAGCTTTGGAAAGCTGCTTTCTGAGCAAAGTGGAAGTGTATGAACAGCATGTTTCAAGCCCTGTGTTTACACTGTGGAGAGCTTGCTGACCTGCGCCGGGACATCCTCCGAGGGTAGTGGTAGGGAGTGACCACCGAGCAGTAGCGGTCCAAGCTGATGAAGCACAGTGTGACGATGGAGGCAGTGCAGAACAGCACGTCGAAGGATATCCACATCTTACAGAAATGCTCCCCAAACAGCCACACCCCTGTCACCTCATAGATGATACTGCAGGGAGACAGAGAGGGGGCAGGGTTACTCTCCACTCCTCTGAGTCACCAGAAGGGAGTAGATCTCTGAAGGTAGCCAAATGCAGACAGCACCCCCTGGTCACCAGAACGGAGCAGATTCCAGACCACAACCCCTGGTCAACAGAAGGGAGCAGATCGCCGACCGCACTCTCCTGTCACCAGAAGGGAGCAGATCCTCGACCACAACCCCTGGTCACCAGGGGGGAGCAGATCCCCGACCACAAACCCTGGTCACCAGGGGGGAGCAGATCCCCGACCACAACCCCTGGTCACCAGAAGGGAGCAGATCCCAGACCACAACTCCTGGTCACCAGAAGGGAGCAGATTCCAGACCACACACCCCCTGGTCACTTGAAGGGAGCAGATCCCAGACTGCAGCCCCCTCCCCAGCCCCAGCTCACCTGAAGGGCATGACGAGGCAGGCCACCAGCAGGTCAGCCATGGCCAGGGACATGATGAACATGTAGGTGACGGTGCGCAGCCGGCGCTCCACGGCTGGGCAGATGAACACCACTGTGTTCCCCAGGAAGGTCACTAGGTCAATCAGCGTGAGCAGAACACCCACGGCCACCTGTGGGGGGGCGATATCCAGCTCTGCCAGTGAGGACGCCACGGACAGGTTGGCCAGCCAGGAGGAATTCCTGTTCAGGAACATGGTCCCCTGCAGGGACACAGGTATACAGGTGCTGTGAGAGTCTGGACTGTGATACACTGATCTCTTCCTTCATCAAGTCACTGAAATCTCACCTGTTCTGCTTTAGCCTTTCTTGTAATGGATGACTTTTTATCTGCACAGGGCCCTCGAGATGTCCGAATATTGGTGACACTATAAAATAAAATATTGATGAGTTATTAATGAACTGCATTTGCAGACTTTATATATTAAGGCAACACCAGCAACCAGAAATATAAAGTGGTTAGTTCATCATGAGTGAATTTATACAGTATTGAAATGTGTGTGAAATTCAGAAGTCATGAAATCTGTCATTTTCTGGCTGAATCGAAACCATAGGTACAGCAAACCCTACAACTAATGCAGCCTAGATATGTTAAATGTCTCAAAGGACAGAGGATTTAAAAACTCAGCATCCGAGAATGCAGTGCTTTCAAAATCTATACAGGCAATGTCCTTAGCAACAACAGCTCACTGGGCCAAAGAGCTTCCTGGTATATGTGTCAGTAAGCAGACAGAATAGCACTGTGGATGGGTTTGCCCCCAGCAATGCTGGTCCCCATTCATACTAGCTGGAGAAACTGGGGTAAAGTACCTCACTCAAGGTTCAACAGCAGTGTCTGCAAAAGGGACTCAAGCCTACAACCCACCAATCCTGAGTCCAGAGACTTGTC